TACAGGCAAAGCACAACTTCATGTGTAATTATGTGTCTTCCTTCCCATTAAAATACGGATTTTTTTAATAGTGTTGTTCAGAGAACCTCATCTTCTAAGGAAAGGGGAATTTCATGTGTAGAGGAATTTAGACTTGACAGTAGTAGAATTCAGCACTGTGTACTATAATGCTTTTTCACTGCTAAACAATGATTTGATTTTTAAAAATCCACTGTGTTATAAATAAAAATGTTTTCTGTTGTCCATTGAGGACTCACTCTATGGATGCAGTATTTACAGTTAGGGTGTTTTGGACAAGCTGCAGACAAATCGAAATCTTCCTTTTGGTGAAGAGGTCTGTATCATTTGTCTCTAGGGCATGGAGCCTTGACTAAAGAAAATGGGTTTCTGTTCCAAGCTCTACCAGTGGTCTGTTGGGAGATCTGGGGCAAGTCATTTCATCCCAATATATGCCTCAGTTTCCCCATCTTCAGTGTTACTTCCTTTCAAAGTACTTTGAAATCTGTGGATAACAAGTGTTAAATAGCAGCAAGGTATTTTTATTCCTTGTCACTTCCATTTGATAATTTTCCTTTGGGACTTAACTAGGTCAGTAATTATTACCCCAATCTATGCTTTAGCAAGGGCTACAATCCCCCAGGAAAGAGAGCTAAACCAAGAGCTCATAGTGAGGAAAAAGAGAGTATATTTTTTTAACCAGGCCATTATTCATTATTATTACAGCTGAAACGTGTCCGAGAAGCTGAAAAACAATGCAAACCTCTCCTGGAAAGGAACAAGTGCCTCACCAAGAGAAATGATGAATTGATGTTGTCCTTACAGCGCATGGAGGAAAAACTTAAAGCTGTCACTAAAGAAAATGTAGAAATGGTATTGAATGTAGAATGCTATTGAACACCAGTCAAGGACTGTGCGTGCGCGTGTGTGTGTGCATGTGTGTCTACATACATACGTGCACCCACCCCAGGACTTTGATATGGTCTTTCATAAATTAAATTTGGTACTGTTGGACTGATAGTGTAGCCATCATGGTGCAGGAATTATGGAGACTGATGAACCTGATGAAGAATGTCTTGTATTTGAAAGCTTGTCTAACTTCATCCTAGCCATGCAGGTGGTCCAAAAGAAGATATCACCCACAAAAATCCTTACCTCTCATATACATTAAATTTGTAATTCAGGCAATTGTGAACATACTTCTATGTGGGCATACCTAGATGCATGTGGAAAGCTGGGCAGGCAAACTTGATGGAACAGGCCATAAATTTCACCTCAAATATTGGTTCTATTGTACCTGCTATTTCTTTCTTTCCACGTTGGAAAAGCTTTTCTATTTACAGATTTGTTAAATGAAATCCTTCTGGATTTATAAGGCTTGTATTTGACTCTCATTCATTTAGGAGTTTCTGGTATTGATACAATGGAGATTTAATGCCATTGACTACAGTCTCAGCAGATAGGTGCTGAGAAGATGTCCCACATATGGCACATTGATGGATGTCATCCCTGACCCATGATACCTACTACACTTGTCTTGAGCAGGCTGACTGCTTTGTCATTTTGGTTCTGTCAGACTACTAATTAAGATGAGTCATTATGTATGCAAGCATAATTTGATGTGCAGCTAATCAGACATTGAAGCCTAGGACTTCATAACTAATCCATAGTCTCAAAACAACAGGTGAAATATATGTAGACAACAGCCTAGAGCAGGGGTTTTCAACCTTTTTTAACAAGCGTACCCCTCCTGGTGGTGGCAGCTGGATACGGAGGGCCCCACCCCACCACATCCGGTCGGCTGGGGAGTGCCTGTGTGGCCTACAGAGGGGTGCCGCTGCCCTCGCCTTCCCTGGCTGCTTCTGGGAGGTGGCAGTGCAGGGTGGTGGGTGACCGTGTGAAACCCCACTTCCCCACGTCTGTCTGTAGAGGGGTACCTCCTTGCCATCAGCTATTGGCTGAGGGCAGCAACACAACAGCCAATCAGGACAGCAAGTTGGGGGGAGGGGCAGGGGGGCAGGGAGATGCCACGGTGTGCCGTGTGGAGCCGGCAGCACCTGGCATGCCTTCCCCCTCCCCTGGGTAAGAGACAACATGTGGGAATGTGCCTAGGGGTAGGTGTACCCCCAGTTGACAACCCCTGGCCTAGAGCACTTCTACACCTGTAGAATTACATGTCTCTATGCCAGTAGGTCGAGGAACTCCATTAGCTTAAAGAAATAGTTTCCTTATAGACAGCAATGTCAATGGAGGGGGCTGGGGGGGAATGAGTGTGATGGTGTGTGTGTGATTGTGTGTGTGTGTGCGCGCACATACCTGCACACAGAATTTAACTTCCTGACATTCAGTATAACTCTACAGTTAAGTGGTGCTAATGAGTAGTTAAGTCATGACAGTTTTGCAGTTGTATTGAAAAAATACAGACATTTTTTTAGGCAGGGGGAGGGAGAGGAGTTATGTCCAAAGAGGAAGATTTCTGCTTGTTTGTTTTTAAGCTCTGAATCTGTTCATTTCCTTTCTTTCTATTATTTTATGTTATTACCGCAGAGAGAAAAAATGACATCACACCCTCCTCTAAAAAAATTAAAATCTCTCAATGACCTGGATCAAGCAAATGAAGAGCAAGAAACTGAGTTTTTAAAGCTGCAGGTTATAGAACAACAGAACATAATTGATGAGTTGACAAGGGTATGTTTAGACCATCAAGAATTAAAAGAATTTCCTAGATAAATAGTACCTTCATTTTCAGGCATACAAGATTTGAATGACTACATATGTTTTTATAACAATATGTTATTATATCTTGTTATATTTTTTGAAGATGTATATAGTATTTAATAGTGTGTGTATGTGTGCTTGTACATACATATTTACATTATACTATACAATTTATAATGTTTGTTTATATATCTATATAAACATTATAAATAAATAAACATTATAAATAAATAAATAAATAAATAAATAAATAAATATATATATATAAAAGATATTATAACGTATATATCCAGACTTGCTATATATAGTGCTATACATCCATGCATCTCTCTTTCTCTCTCTCTCTCTCTCTCGTCTGGATTTTAATATATATTTATATGTTAAAATCCAGACTTGATTTTTATGGCAAGCCTTTTGTTGTATGGGTAGACAAGTTTCTTTGAGTAAATCTGATATCTTTTATTAGACTAACCCAAATAGTTGGAAAAAAATCTTCTTTGCAACTATTTGAGTTGGTCTAATAAAAGACATCAGATTTACCCAAAGAACCTTGTCTGCCTATGTCCTTAGACCAACACAGCTATAACCTATATACTTGTTGTATGGGTATAATTTGTATCATTTCATAGGTACGCATAATCTGTAATTTGATGTCTAAATCTCTCCCTACACTGCGATCCCACAGCGTGCAAAAGAGCTTTCATAAACATACCCAAGATAACTTTAAACTAGTTTATCTAGCTCCAGTACAGACAACGTTGTGACTACAGCAGCACAGAGCTCCACATAGGATGCAAAGCCCTCTTTGGAAGCTGGACAAATATTTGGGTGTGTAGCCCACACTGAGCTCTTTGTAGGGCGCAACAGAGGTTTCATTCAATATCAGGCACCTATAGTGTTTCACAAACCGGTCTCATAAAATGAATGGGATCAGTAATATGGTTTCAAGATTCAATAACTTGGAAAAATATAAGCCTAAAACATATATAGAAGTTTCAGAGTTCTGTATAGGGAAGGGAGAAAGAAATAAGTTTTGCAGATGAAATTTGAGGCAAAAAGGTGTAAGGAAGGCAGAAAAACAAAGAAAACAGTTCCAAATGTTGTAAGCAGGAGATAAAAAGGCTTTGGGTGTCTGGAGACATGCCGGGAGGCTGCTCCGACATGCTGTAATTACAGTGTGCCGGAGCAGACTCAATCAAGTCTGCTGGAGCGTGCAATTAGTGTGCTCCAGCAGCCTCCACGTCTCATGTATCAGCGTCCCCACACTT